TGGAAGTGGATAGGACACACACCACGAAAAGCACCTAACTACATCACGAGACAAGCCGTCACATGGGACCCTCAAGGCAAAAGGAAAAGAGGAAGGCCAAGGAACACACTACACCGAGAAATAGAGAAAGATATGAGAAGAATGCATAAAGATTGGACAGAACTGGAGAGGGAAACCCAGAACAGAGTTGGTTGGCGAAAACTGGTGAGCGGCCTATTCTCCATTGAAGGTAACAGGCGTAAGTAAGTAAATGATCCAGTAAGCAATTCCTGGTTTGGGAAAAAGAAACTGGGTAAAGATGGAAAATCGATTGATGTAGTAGTGAAACCTCATAACCTCAATGGACGATGCTGTTTGATGTGGGAGTGAGCTGGAAGAAGCCTAGCGACGACTAAACCATAACACGGCGCGAGTCCATGAAGTCATTGTAATGTCAACATTTACATGAATATTTATTTTCAATTAGTATCGTAAATATTATAAAATCTATTTGTCTTTTTTAAAGCAAATAACTAGAGGAAAAAAAGTAAAATTTCATGAATTCAATCATTATTGCGAAAAGAAAAACATTTATGTCATCGCTACGAGGACTTCGGGATTTGATCGGTAAAACGAAACATGTTATAATTATAATGATAATAATAATAATAATAATTCTTATATGGTCACTTAAGGTCAACACTATTGATTTCCCGTATATTTTTTTCCTGCAAATAATTCTTATAATTGTGTTTCATTTGTGTATATCTATACATATATATATATATATATATATATATATATATGTATATATATAAATGAATAATTTTTCTGTTGAACTTCCGTTTCTATTAGTTACACATGTTTGCTTTTAATATATAAAAATTTTCTCGCTTCCCCTGGAATAACATCTACCTTGTATACTTTTAATCACTGTTCCATTTTTATTCTAGTTTCCTGAAATTATACAAACTGATTCAGTTCAGTATTTATTTTCTTGTAGAAAAATATTGTTATTGATTGTGCCATCTCGTTCTCTCCTCTCTCTCTCTCTCTCTCTCTATGTATATATATATATATATATATATATATATATATATATATATATCCATATGGTTGCACGGATGGGTGTGTGTTGAAAAGGATAGTATAGATACATGTTTAGTTTATTTCATATTTTACTGATAAGGTTGAATTATTTTTTTATTATTGGAAACTGGTTAGCATTTAAGGCGAAATTATGTACGATAACATAAATGAAGTGATCAAATCGATGAATCCGTTGGAGTGTAAAAGCTTGGCAGGAGACCTGAAGATATTAAGTTTGAATTCTAGTATAGTTGTATGTCGGCGAGAACTTCTGAGGATGAACCGAATGACCGACAGTTTCGGTTTATTTTTTTTTGCTAAGATCAACTCATGATGTGAAGTATGAAACACAAAATAAGTGTGACATTAAAGAATCACATATCCAGCGGTAAGACTAAGTATTCTATGAATGAAATAAACTGTCTTGACATATATCAGGAAAATGTTTGAACTACATAAAAATTCATATTTATTTCCTTTAAATGAATGTAATGTACCTGTAGCTTTCATTTTCCCGTGTGAACATAATCTAGCCATGGAATTCTTTAAAGTATAATCAGAAATAAATTTATTTTTAAAAAAAAATGCTTTACAAGTTTTCTTAATCAATTATTCGCCTAAATTCGCTCATCTGTACATCACCAAATAAATTAAACTGCATTCCGCGGCCAACGACAACCTCCTAAAATAATTCAATATTTATTTTATAAATAATAATATTATTATTATATAATTTGAAAGGCATCTGCGACCCCAATTGTTCGTATATATAATACATTTCTCTATGCATCTATGCCTTCATTTTTAAAACAATTAATAAATCTCTACTCATCAAACAGACGTCTGCTTTAGGAAGATTTTCATTCGGAATTACAAGTAAATATATCTAGTATAATACAATAATATCTGAATCATTGAAAACTGTATGCTGAAGAATGACAGTTGTTTCATGAAATGAAATCAGTTAAATAATCAGTGGAAATTAAGATTGTTTCATCCTAAGTTAAGATTAATCAATCATAGTGCATGTAAGTATAGGCTGCATAATAAAGGGACATATTGCGGAAATCATCAAAATGCATTACAAAGCAAGCCATAACTTGAAGCCTCCAATGCAACAGTAAAAAAGGAGGATCAAAGAAAATATCGCACTAGGAACTGGAAGTAAATTTCGAAAGAATGAGTAGCACTTGAGAATAACTGAAACGGAGGGTTCAAGAAGGAGTTGACTGGAGGCTAACAAGTGTAAATAAGTAAGCAGTAGTCTACAAAATAATTTATTGTTTATGCACACATCATGACATCTACTGTTTTGTGAAGTGTAGACGTAGATAACTTTGCCAAAATAAATAACCACAGTCAATTTTGAAAACGATAGAATTCTATGATCTGCCTTGAGTTGACTGTTGTCAGCTCGAATTAAGAGATCACTAACTTCTCTTGGTTTTTAACTAAATGATCATTTACTGAGTGAAGTGAATCCATCAAACTGGAAGGCTTGTTATTCGATTTGATAGCCAGAGATCGTAGATATGCCTAACTGATTAGCGATCTATTCCTCAAAAACTAGATCTAGAAATTTCTGTTACACAAAACTGTTAACTAACCCTTTGGCAAAGCTAAAAACTATTTCGGCACATCAAAACAGACACTTAAGATGTATTCTGATAAGTAAATTTTTCCGAAATCAAGAGGATTATGGTAATAAGCTGGAGTTAATTAAGACGAAATATCATACATTAAAGTTATAAATACAATAGCACGTTTTAATTGCTTCAGTAAGTCAATCGGTCACATTTGAGTAACTTGAAACTAATAACCCGAAAAAAATTTGACAGTAAAATCTTCTACAAACACTTACATTTGTTATTTATCAATTACATCGTGTATTCGACAGTTTGCAAGTATTTTTTTCAGCCGACTCAACAATTGGCTGGGACTCGAGCATAGGTGTCGAACAGATATTAGCGATCGATTATTTTTAAAGTCAATAATTTAAAAATGGTTCTTATTTCTATTAAAGCAACGATCATGGATAAAACTAAGTGTAAAATAAAAATTATTGACTACTATTAAAGTGAAACATAATTACAGAATGATTTTTATCATCATTCCCTTATGTGGTCAACTACAATATTAGTCTTAAAGTCTAAAACAATGCTTAAGTCACGTACAGTTTAGCGACGTTTATCTAGCGATCGCCAAGTGAAAATAGAAACGCATACTTATATATAATATTCATTGTCAATGTATTAAAACCTAATCTGTAGTCCAGATGGATTTAAGTGTTCACAGTTCCAACAGAGAATTTTACCACAAAATGTGTATATCAATAGTAAAAGGGAATGTGGGAAATTGTCCATTGGACAGGAAGATAACATGCATAACACAAAACAATGTCTTCATTAATGAAATTTACAGTCACATGGTCAATTTTAACTACTAATTGTCCACTGCACGCTTCATTCTCTTCTACCTAGTCTTTCCATAACTTTTTAAAATAATTCTGTGCTTTACTTGACTATGTCTCCATAAAACTGGATATTATTGATACCACAAATCGACTTAAGTTAGTCAGCTACGTTAGGAACTAATATGTTCACTGCTATGAAGTCTCATACGAGGACAAAACTGCTTTCTGGTTGCTAATGGTTGTCTGATTTAAATGGATTCATGATCTCGTCTACATTGAACAATTTTCACCAACCGACCATAGTAAAACTGTATACATTTGCCATTAAACTATTGACTCAAAACAGACATAGTAGAAGTACATTTAATTATCGTATAGACTAACTATGAAACGATACAAATAGAATAGCCAATAGTGCAGAAGTGTAACATTGTTAATAATAGTAATAAATCAGTACCATCTCTTCCTCGGTTTACATATATATGTATTTATTATCATAAAGATTAATAATGTTAGAATTTACCCTAATTTTGACCTCTATTTCTAAATGATTTAACGTATTATAAGGTTAAGAATGAAATTATGTAAACAGTTGTATATTCCTGTCAAATATCACAGGGTTATGCTGAACTAAAATTGCAAATCGATGAATATCAAATAATTTAAATGATGCGCGTAACCGTCATATTTCGAGCAAAATTAATAATGAAATATTTGTGTACTTAAACATTATTACATGTGAAGTGAGATCGAATTTGAAAGCTGCCATATTGGGAAAAATCATGATAAAATTAACATGTAGGATAACTGTCGTAGATACTTTGCTGCCTATATTGTAAGAGTGCAACTGATCAATACACTGAAAACACAATCATTCAATATTTCTCAATGAGAATGAGTTTTAAATTTTATGTTCACAAACAAAAAAATGTTGTTTTAGTTTCAGTTAAAGAAAAGACATTTAGAATAAGTAGATCTAACTTTTAACTTCAATGAAAACCCTATGATGCACATATACATGATATATATATATATATATATATATATATATATATATATATATTTGTCATATAAGACGTGAGGATGATGAAATCAACTTATTTCAAAAATACATACGGTGATAACCCACTTTTAATGTTCTAAATATTATGATTTTACTTCAAGGCATGTAGGTCCTCATTGCTACACATATTACTGTCATCAGTATCCATTTTTTATGGCTCTTGTTTGGTAAGTACTAGTCCTTTATTTAAACCATAAAAAATGAACAATGCTATTTTAAAAAACAATATTTTGGCCCTATTTTACTTGTCAAGTCTCTATATATATTTAAGTTGAAAACATTGCATTTCAGTTTCATGCTTCAAGTTAATCAATAATCAATACGAATATTTCAATGAAATTAGAAGATTATATATTTAAAAATCAGCACATCCCTAAATCAGTTTTATCATGATTTTCCAATCATAAACATCAAATAGTTTAACAAACAACAAATTACTCATCATTCACTACTTACTTTATCAATTTTCTTTTTAAAATAATCCTTATGTTTAGTTTTAAATCGATGACCCGTTTCAACTTGATATGGCACAGTCAATAGTCGTCCAGTTTTTTCTGACAAATCAATACCAAGTGTAGCAGCAGCTTTTGCACTGATTCGCATAGATTTAATGGAACCATCTGTGTCGATAAGAACTGGTAATGTGGATTTGTTAATCACATCAAGACATTGATCTGTGTCAGTATCACTTTTACATAATCCTAATGAATTTTGTTGTTGTTCCTCTTCATCAGTTAAATGACTATCAGGTAGCGGTGAATTTTCATTTGTCTCTTGATTAATCGGTTCAACATTTTCAACTTGAACTAAATTACGTGCAGTTCGCACTAATCTAGCTACACTAGAACCTGAACTAGAAGAACCATCACTATTGTCGTCATCATCGTCATCACCGTCATCATCATCATCATCACCATCGGTTAGATCAACATCGTCTCCTAAGTCCATTTCATAATTAGAATTAACATCGATATGCTTTTCAACTCTTTTACTTCTCTCTATAACATTTTCTACTAGATCTACACTGTCGTCTATTGTAACATCCTTTTCAAGTAAGTTAGCATCAGTTCCCTGATAACCAACTTGATCTAATGTAGTTAAATTGTATGCTGTGTTTGATTGTGTATTTATTATATTCTCTGAGTTTGATGCGATTTCTTTCTGATCCAAATTTTCAGCCATAAAGAATATTTAAAGAATATTTATGTGTATTTATTTATGATACATGCATTTAATTATCCGAAATTTGATGAATGATACATTGAAAAGTGTATAGTTGTTCTTTAAAAAATATACTCCACATTCATAATTAATGTAAATAAAGATAAGTAAATAAAATTTTCCTTGTCTATTGCAGTTATACTCAGTCAAACGTTTCAAGGTTAGAAAATGATCTGAATAATAATAAAACAAGATTGTCAAGTGATAGGAATTTTCACTTAAGTAAAATCTGATTGGCTAATGTTTTGTTAACCAATCGGCATTACATTTGGGATCAGCTGTTAAGTTGCAGACGGAAATAAGATTTCCAATTGTTAGGCATTCTTTTAAGGAATAAAGGGCGCATAAATTACACGTCAACTTCCATGTGCGTTATTCTTCAGTTTCACTGATAATTGTAATTTTATTTCAGTTGTTGAAATATGAACGAAGAATGTTCCTTTCAAGCAGTTCTCTTTAGGTCCCACAATTATATTCACATGAACAGTCCAAAACATGGCCAGGTTTAAGGCCAAATATATCGCTAAATTTACAGGATATGACTTCAAGATTGTAAAATAAAATTGTCTATGTTAAGATGATCAATATGCAATCGTAACTTGAGTAAGTTTATTTGCCAAAGGAATTTGTCAGATTCATTATCACAATAAATAAGGGTAATATGGGATGAAATTACAAATTATAATAAATGTTTGATCAAAGGTACTTAAAAGGTAAACTAATATGAACTAGATAAGAACTAATAAACAGGAGTGGGCGGTAATCAAAGTTCTCGAGGGTTTACATGATAATAAAATAGGAAATGAACTTAAGATAAACTTAGGCAACGGAACTACAAAGAGGAAGGCTTTAAGTATATGAATCAAATTATGTTCTCTTCAAAATAACTGTTTACTAATTAGGCTAGAAGTAAGATAAGAAAGAAGAGCGTTTGAACACTATTCTCATGAAAGCAAAGATAAAGATTTTTGAGCCGAATAACTATTGCTTCCGCCGTTTGAAGGATTCTCAGTCTGAAGGGTTCAGATAGATAGCTATTAACAAGACACAATATTGTATATTATATTGGTTGTACAGCTAGTTTGTATTAAATAACCTACAACTAAGCTATTAAGAGTTTTAGTACTCATTAATTTTATTCGTTTATATATATATATATATATATATATATATATATATATATATATATATATATATATATACTCGAAGAAAGCACTTATCATGTTGGCCGATTTTATTTGGCATCATCACTGAAACCGGAAAATTAATTAAGCAATCATTATTTCATTATTCACTGTATTCAGCTAAGCCTGTGAATCATTATTGATAGATTCATGAACATACTGTTTAGATGAAAACCGACTTATATATTTTATTCGATGTGAGTTGATTTCAGTTAGGGACCAAATAAAACAAGGAAGCAGTTCAAAACTGTGATGAATAGAACTTAAAAATAAAACTAATCTTCAAAGAACCTATTCATCAGCACGATAGTAACTGATTCGATGATGTGATATTAACAGTTTCTATTATTTTTTCAAGACTGGTGTTAAAGACAACTACACCATGGAGGATAATGTTTATGGGTTACGAAACGTCGATAAAACTAAACTGATCAACACATTGTTTATGGTGGAGTTTCGTTCTCTGAGCTGAATGTTTTGATCGTGGAGCTTTCATCGTTCCTCTGAACAACATCGTCAGCAAAAACTTCAGAGAGAAGTAAAGCATTCGAACAATTTTCTAAAAACTTATCAAATTATGTAAAATGTTAATAACCTATAGAATTAATTTACTTATTTGACAATAAATAATTATCGAGTTAATAATGGCATTTAGGATGATCATTAACCTGTGGAATACGGTACTGAGAGGTCATTTTGAGACCTATTGAATGAAAATAGCAAATTTATGAAATAAAAATCAATAGTCGGAAATCAGACTTACGAAAAATGATTCTAATCTCCAATCTATAACTAATTAAACTAAACATAGTGTTAAAAATCTTTTGTTTCCCATTATTGACAGTAAAGTGGCTACACTATTCAACAGTTACCAGTACTATCAATTAAATAGGGAATATTGATAAAACAATCATTTAGATAAAATTGAAAAATTATTATCGAAGTAATGCTAGTAAACTTGAGATTTAGAAAAGTTGATTTCATATAACAGGTTTCATGTTAGTCGGTTTTGAGATTCGTCAGAAAATTATTAGTATTTATTTCTCAGGGTTGTTTGTCATGAACTGATTTAGTGAATCTTATGACTATAAATATTACTTACCGAAAAATGTAGTCAAAGATTAACGAAAACCAGCACCTTAACGATATATTTTATTTCATCCCTTATATACTTATAAAAACTTCAATATATTAAGTCATTATGTAACCGATCTAGCGATAGGTATGAGTTCAGTTATCTGTATTTTATTTCGAAAATCATCTTTTTATCTATAAAATAAGCAGAATAATTTTAGGTTAGCTGTACGAACTTACTAAAATGTGGTTACAATGTGGTTACTTAACAGACTATCTTCAGATCGATTTTATGCCTCAGAGTAAGGTGAATTCCACTGCTTATGGAGTTGATCTTTCTGTCTATCGAGCTGAATCAATACTCCTTAAAACCACAACAATAAAAATCCTAATCAGTTCAATGCAAAATGAGTGTATCATCATTTGAGGAAATATTAGCTCTATAAATAATGCCATCTCTTGATTTAAAAAAATCTCTTTACAAAATAAAAAAAATGTAAGGATTAAAATATTTGTGATCATTTTCAATGATTTGTTTAATGAAAAGTTCGATTTTAAGAAAATCTCTTATAAATCGAGAAGGAATGAGTTACTGTTTTGTTGTAGTTGTTGACTTCCGTAATATTACTACTAAACATTACAGTAAACAGCTTGACAAACGGATAGCTTGTAATTATTATTTGTTAGTTTAAGAAAAACACAACACAGTAATCATATAATACTTGAAAGAATTGAAATAAAATCAAATGATCTGTTAATGATGATTGAATTTGTTCACTCTTGCTTGTTGGAAATTCTTGGTTTTTAGCTGGTGGTGTATCCGGTTTCTTAGGTACGATTATTGATATACGTACTAGATAGTCAACACATACATAGGCGCAAGACCGAAGGTCCTGGGTTCGAATCTTGAGAGGTGCATGAGTCGTGGATGAGCACTGCTGATGAGTCCCATACCAGTACGAAATAGCTATCCAGTGCTTCCAGGCTTCTAGTGATGGTCTAACACTGATTGACTTATGATTTCAAACATTATATATATATATATATATATATATATATATATAATTTTAAAATTTGTATTGAAATTAGTGTCATAATGCAACAAAGGCATCCAAACAAATAGTTTTGATCAATAGCAGTCAGTGTTAGACAATCACAATCTACTGTTTAGAAAGAAACGATGAGAATCACGTTTCGTCAAACAGAAAGGCATGAAAAGCTCTTTCATTCCTAAATTTCAAACTCATCATCAGTCAATACAGATACACAACGTCGAATCTATGAACTGATATTTATACAATGACATTACATCATAAAAATAACTGAATTAGAATATAAAAATTCACTAGTTCAATCTAAATGATTCTACTACTAAAAATCATTCTGATCTACAAGATGCACATTTTTGAAACCATGAATCGATCAATGTTAGACCACCATTAGAAACCTGGAAGCACTAGACTGCCGTTTCGGCCTGGTATGGGACTCCTGAGCATCATCTATAAGATGATGTCTTTATTGTCTTCGACAATACAACTTCTCAATGGAAATTTGGATAATCCGTTTTAAAAATAGTTACCGATAAGTACTTAGTTTTAATTGCGTTATTGCTTCTGAAAAGACTATTATTGTATATATTCTCAAGGTAACTAATTTTTAATATAATGGTAAGTTTGCTTAGAAAACGTCTACAATGTACTTGATGTCACGCACACAAATTTATGTATTTTAACATAGAGATATGTAAAAATATTGAATAATAAGTTATAAAATAATCACTGTCATATCATATTGTCCTTTTAAAACTGTCAATTAATCAACTTGTACAACTAGAAACACAAAGGCTATTCATATTATTGATAAGACATTTCATTTTCATTGAATATGCTTAATCTTTGATAAATCAATGCGTCAATAAATCAAGAAACATTAATACTTGACCTAATTAAATGACAAGACTAGTATATATGTATTTATATATAAATTTGTTTTTCTTCACGTTAGTATATCCATGCCTATAAATATATATAGATTTAAATGCATATATATGTATAGTGAAGGTTAACCACGTTGTAGTAGATGGGTTAATAGGAAAGAGGAGGACAAGATAAACGAAAACGATCATAAAAAACAAACAATAAACAATGTAGTTAAAATCATTAAAACAAATAAATTGATTGCAAAAGTATCTATCTATCACTTCAATTATCATCTATATTGATCTCTCGCTATATTTTTGTGATATATTTATGTGTCCTGTGACATTTATTGATGTACATTTTTTCTTTTACATAATTAATGAATAAGTGTTTCTACCTTTTTGAATCTACTAACTCTAAGAGGATTCTGTGATTTGTTTCATTTTTGTACGTTTATTTTTTTGTTGATTTTATTTGTATTCCAATGAAAACTTATTGTAACTAAAAACCTTGAATAACTTTAAATTTACTCTGGTAATCTTGAAGCCTAGGGTAATGTGACAATTTTCCTACCCTTTCTTTCTTATTCTTTTCAATATTACGTTAATTTTCTTCTCTCCTTTATTTACAATTATCACCTTATGTCTATTTGAACTTTTATTGAAATTGACCATGCATTAATCATCATATAAAATGCCTTGACAAGTAAATATGTGTGACCAGATTGTTCGAATTGTATAACGCGAATACATCAAAACATTTTTCACATCAATTACGTCATCTCACTGTTCTATCAAAATTACTAAGTTTTGGGGTAGAGTTTTGGAGGTTTGTGTTTTTACACAATTGAAATCATCAATCAGTCATTGTTAGACCACCATTAGAAACCTGGAAACACTGAAAGACGGCCGTTTCGTCATCGTATGGAGCTCATCAGCAGTGCGCATCCACAACCCCTGTAC